TTTTTTCGTAACTTTGAATAATGTGAAATGATTAACTTTTTAAAATAAACCATATTAAAGGTACTTTAGAGGAAGACGTACATGAACATTGGGCATTTAAGCCCTGTAAAGTGACATCATTGGGGATAAGACCTGATTGATATTAAAGAGCACTTAATTATACAATTATGAAGCGAGTTTAATCGAAATCGTTAGAGCCGTTTTTGAGAAAATTGTGAAAATGTGTTTCAGCGTTGATATAAAGTGCCACTTCCGGTTAGCCAATTTTAAAGAAAAGGTTGCCGTCACATCTTCGTCATATACCTATCTTAAATACGTAATATCAGTTTCGTAGGATTTTTCGTTTTTGAGCTAGACTGCTAACATACAAACACACAGACCATTTTTCGGGACTTGGTCATTTCGACGCAGGGTACCTCAAAACGTGTATTTCCGTTGAAAACTCAGATTCAAAAATTTTCTCGATCGCAATACTTACCCTTACTATATATTACATATATACGTAAGTGAAAGTTAAAAAATTGAGTTCTGACAATATTTAATTTTTAAAACATCGATATCAGCAAGATATTGCTAATTCACAAATACATGCGTATTAGGTTTGTAATATATTTTATAATACCAGGCATAATTATTTACTTGGCAATGTCGTTTTCATGTTTGGTACATTTTTTAGTAAAAATGAAAACCCTGCTCAATAAAAAAGATAACAGATTCGAATATCTTTTATTTTATTTTTTCCAACTTGAACGTTATTTTTAGAAAGCCAATATATATAATATGATTACATTAATAATCTTTTTTTTGATGTACACGAATTTTATTTATTGTGTAACACACGCCCATTTAAACTCAAGAATTATTGTCCCTTCCACGCTTCCTACTAACCCATCTACCGATAAAAAAAAGTCTGTCAAGTAGGTCAGTAGGCACACCTTCCTCACCATTTCTATATTCTAAGAAAGAGAGATGCAAACAAATGATTAAAAACAAAATAATAAAGAAAGTATAACTTTTGATTTTATTCCTGATGACAACCATGATATACCCATGAAAAAGGATGTGGATCTGAACATATAGATATTGATTCCCAATGATGTTGTGTATGTGGTGGAAGCAAAATGAGTGAATGGAATCAGATAAACCTAATACGAAACCTTAAAGATACAAACACGCAAAATCTCCTAAAATTTCATCAAAAATGATCGTACGTCACCCACTGCACCTGACGATGCTAAGTATGTATATATATATAAATATATAGAGATAACGTGATCTAAATATTTAACCATTCCAAACACATTTTATTTAATTAATATATATTATTAAAATATTTAGCCATTTGAAAAATATTTTAAGCTGTTCAGTGACTGGAATTCAAGTGGCATAGGTTTTTGGTCAACGAAGACATTAGGTATTGGAAAACAAAATCACTTAAATAAATTTATCAGTGGTTCATACCAGTAATGAATCGTCCAGAATATAAAATGACAACCTACCTTCGTATCCGAATGTAATCACTTCTTTAAATGCGATAATGCTCAAATGTAAATCGGTTGGTAAACATCCTGATAGAATTAAAGAGATTATAACACTGTTTATATTCGTCAGTTAAGTCGCTAGTTTACGGTCTGCCTATTGAGGAGGCACAAGTTAGCTATGTAAAGATATCTGGGTAGTGATAATATTTGTTGTGAAGTGATTGTGAATGTTATTTGTGATTAAATGACAAGAAGAATTGGCTAGTACACGTAAGTATCATTATTAACACGCAAGAAAAATGAAAAGAGTTTAGTCTTTAATTGCTGATAATAAAATGATAACATTTAATAATTTCCTTAATCACTCGTTGCATCTAAAGTATGGTCAGTCCTGAAAACCTTTTCTTAATATTGTGTTTATGATTAAATTATGTCAATATAAATTATATCGTCAAATAAATAATAGATTTGATTAAAATTAATTATCAAAGAGCCTATAGGGAGTTACAGAAGAATGGAATAATTGCTCAGTAAAAATCAATTGAGCGTTAGATACTTATTATAAATATCACTAAATATGTATTTTTTTTTTTTGACATATAATATTCTGTCACAGCGACAATAATTATATTGATAAATGAACACATTCACACCGTATATACAAAAAAGAAATAAAATTAACAAAAGTAAAATAATAACTAAATAAAAACTATATACAATAAAAAAAATAAAATGACCTAAATATAAGTAAACTAAAAACATAAAAATAGAGTCATACCTATATACAATATATACAATCAGGCGGGGAACCCAAATCCCTGCGCTAGTCTCTCAATCACCACACCGGTGCTAAAGCCGGTGGAGTAAATATTTATTAAACCCAAAATAATTAATAAATACGATATTACATGTATTTTCTCTTACAATATCTGTGAAGTTTACCATATCGATATACTGTTAACAAAAGATCTACAAGATTTATAAATGTATTGCTGTGTTTTATTAAAACAGCTCCTCATAAACATATTGATAAAATAAAATATTGAATTTGGAATTATATAATTGAACCGAAGGTTCTCTCTCACCCTCTCTTTCGCCCCAAAAATAACCAAAAAAATCATAGAATATCAAATAATTTTTAATGTTACTATCACTCACAGATAAACAAATATGTATTCACTCATTTTTACACCCACACAAATGTTTACAACAGACGTTATCAAATATAGTCTAGCAAGTGACTGCCAGGGGTGCTACGACAATAATGTCCAATTTAAGTTCTTAAGATCAAAAATGTTAATAGAATAGACTGACAAATAAATCAGAAATTAATATTTATTAAAAACAATCTAACTTAAAAATATATCGAGACAAAATTATATTTGCTTTATATATACTTCACCAATAATGGTCAATAATACTTGCCACGATTTTTTTTAGTTGAGGTCGTACCTCAAAATTGTTTTAGTCGCGATTTTTTTTTTTTTTTTTTTTTTTTTTAGCGCGACAAAAAGTTTGATTATGTCTAGACAGGTAAAAAAAAAAATAGCACAGGTGTTCCTGATTAGTTAATTGGAATGTTTCAAACATCAAAATATGTAATGAATATCAAGAAAAATATAATAAATTATATTGATTAAGATAAATTTTTAAGAGCTATTTTCAAAAAGGATGTAAATTATATAGGACCTTATGAGAGAAATTTAACACGTAAGTCTCTATTTGACAATAGATCACACATAGAACTAAGGGTTTAGGATTCACTTTCATTAATACAAGGCAGATAGAATTATTTTATTAAATAATTAATACGTACTAAATATACACTACCAGTAGATAGTTTTTATGAGGAATATATGATTTTTTTTAAATCTACGAGCATATAAATATTGAAGAAAAGAGTCAAGGAGAATAACCTGCTCTATGTAGTAAGAAAAATTAAATTAACGATCATTGCCCATTAGTAAAATAATTAATAGAAAATGTTTTCTATATAAAACATAATTAAGTATATTAATTACTTTATGCTCAATTTACGGCGCTACTTCACTTCAAACAAACATCTCATGCGGTACTGCATCTCCTTTTGATTCCATAATTTTTAGTTTAAAACTAAATTTGTTAATTTCATATTGTTCAATAAAACAAATAATATTGGGCAAAATTAGCAGAATATATTACTTAGTGAAGTAAAAACAAAATAATATGAAAAAAGTAGATCCTATGGATTATGTGAAGGCGAAATTAATTGTGTTTTCTTTGGCCGAATACAATATTTCATTCAACATAATAGTTCAAAATATTTGTAAAAATTACGTTTCTAGTGCCAATTTTTAAATTTTTAATATTACCTTTCATATTTAAAGTAAGACCTCGATCAGAGGATTTTTTAAATTATTAAAAAATATAAAATATACCAATGAAAAATGCCTTTAAGAAATAATAAATTATACATGAATAAAGAAAAAACGGTAGTAGAATGCAATATCTTCAAAAAGAAAGAAATTATAATGTCTATCAAATCTAATATATTGTATCTTTGTTAATAATAGTTAGACGTTTAAGCTTTTTTTTTTTTATTATGGAATTTCGTGAGCTTTCAAATAACCACGGGTCTAATCCAGAAAAAAAATTTAGGTTTCTTAAGTTATTAGCAAAACAAAGGTTTCTTTTCATTCATGATTTTTTCTTAAAATTTCGGGGAGATGTTACTATGATTCGTCACTGATCGATTTAATATCCTTTTGTTTGAAACCTCGTTCGTCAAAATCCATTGCCTATAAGAGCCGGAAGAGGTATCGTTACGGCGAAAAACTATCGTATTATGTATAAAGATAATTACGTAATACTACAAATATTATAAAGCGCCGTAGCTAAATCTCGCTGCATGCCACATGTTGTGGGCAAATAACTGTTTTCATAGATTTATCTTTTGATCCATGGAAGTCAGTCAACCATGGAAGTACGTTCGTAAACTCAGGGTTTATTTTAATTAAAAGGCTCTATTAACTGACAACAAAAAAAAACTAAATTTAAAGATATACCACCTAAATTAATTTAAGTAACAAAAAATTGTACGATTATTCAGAGATGTTAAGTTAAATTATTTGAAGATAAAATTATATATATTCACGATCTGAATAAGTATTCCAAGCTAATTTATTATATATTTTATTTAAAAAATTATTTCATAACGAAAATAAAATACTCGATGTATAATACAATGATCCAATCAGTGGCCTATAGAGGATTAATTTTCGGGACAGAGCGGGCCAGAACTTATGTCCTTGATGATACTCGTAAAAAGATAAGTTCAATTGTTCTCACGATGCATTATGCTATACTAATAAGCAGTGGCGTCTGCTTAGGATTACTTATAAATGCATGAGTGGAAAATTATAATTGTATGAACATGACCAAACCCAACTTCCAAGACCATAATTTTGTACCTCACTGAACACAACATGTAATAATATATTATAATAAAAGATGTTAATAGACTTTTTTTTTTGTTTATAGGATGCAGCCACCGTTGGAATGGAGTATTCCAAATTTCACAGCTGTGTTCCTGTTTATCGCCATACTGCTCCTAAAAGAGCTGAGGCCCATCTTCAAAAAGACTAGATACTTAACTAGACCTGGTGAGCAGAACAGACTGAATTTCTAAACCTATAACAGTTTGTTGAGGGAAACGCGTTAGTTTCGTTAAATGTTTAATAGAGAATACAACAACGAAATGAAACAAATCTATTTTACGTTTCGCTCAGTTTTATTGCACTTCATCCAAACGTAGTAACCGTCTGGCTATGAAAAATTCATTATCATAATACCAAAGTTGAGACTTTACATAAATAATATAGCAGCAAGCGGGGAATAAATGTTATTAAAATATGCGTATCTAGATAGCATGCTAAACCATTCTTCCGACATACATATTAAAACCATGTTAACAAATATAGTCAATGGATTCAGGTTAACAAGTTTCCGGAAAAAAAAAAAAAAAATACACGTTATTTAAAACCTGAATATAAATAACGTAATACGTTTTTATTATTTTATTTTGATTTTGATTTACAATGGAGTAGAACTATTCGAATTATAAATAGATGTTTACGGAAAATATTTGTCTTAGCTGATTTAAAATATTTATCATGCGGAGATACGTTTTTCTATTTTTTTTTTAAATTAAAAATAAATAATACTATAACAAGACGGCCAAAGATAATGATAAAACACCAAGCAAAAAAAGAAATGTCATCTCTACATTTAATCTGTGAAGTTCTAACATCCTAGTTCTTTTCACGAGCGGATCTAAGGGGAGGGGGGCTTTCGGGCTGAAGTCCCTCTCTCCCCCCAAAATGATAAAATATAACCACGTTTTATGGAAAAAAAAATTTTTTACCTCTTAAAGTATTATTGTTCGTGTAATTACATTACATTTGAGGAATCACTTAAACACCATTTCATATAGGTAGCTGGTTTCTTTCTGTTTTTTCAAATTAATTATCGTTATTTTTATGAAAAAAAAAATGTTTTGGGCTTAAGCCCCTCCCCCAAAATCAAATCCGGGATCCGCTAGTGGTTCTAGTTTATTTATAATAATTTTTATAAAAATTATAAATTTTATAAGTTTATCGAAGTCCAGTATTAATCTGCTGGAGGCTATGAATTCGATTTAAATTAAACTACTTTATCCACAAAGTTTGAATCAAGAATAAGTAATTTATTAATATTTCTAAAAAAAAAAAAAGTACCATTAAAATATAAGGGGGACCGGAAAGTAATGCCATTACTGAGCATGTCACTAATTGAAACCTGGCAAACTGTGAATGTAGACTGTTATTGTAAATAATTGGATCGTGTATATCAATCTGTAATTGAAAAGCGGCCAACGATTGCCAAGGCAAGAAAAGGCATTATTTTGCTACATGAAAATGTAAGATCACACTGTGTAAGACGAACCCTGAAAAAAAATTAATGAATTAGAATTTGAAGTACTGCCTATCCACCATATTCCCCTGATGTTGCACCATCCGATTTCCATTTGTTTGGATCGTTTTAACACTTTCTACAAGACAAAAGATGTGTAAATTTGAATGATATCCAAAAGGCCATCTCTATATATTCTGCTCAAAAAATAACTGATTTTTGTCCATCCTGCATTGAAAATTTGCACAATATATGGCAAAAGGTTGTTGATAATGAGGATGATTCGATGAATGATTAAATATAAAAACTGGTGTGAAATTTGTGTGTTTGAATTTAATGTAAAAAAAAGAAAATTACTTTCTGGCCCTTCTAATAAATTAATAGTTTTTGAATTTAGAACTATATTTATAATTAATCTGATTTCAACTGAACTCAAGTTCATCCCTCATTAATTTTATGGGGTTTGAATCAAGAATAAAATATTTATTACACTGATAGAAAATACACCATATTGGTACTTCTCTCTTTATTTTTCTTGGTTGAGTCTTAAGTCTCTATGGCTGAGAAACAAGTCTAGTATTTACCCTCCTCCTAATTATTAGGAGCATATTAATTTTTTTTTTATTATTAAATAGTAGAAAAATATTACACATGCATATATTTCAATATTGAAAATAATTTTATTTTGTTTCAATTAAAGAAAAAATTTATCAATCTATATCCAGAAAATATATGATGAAAACTAAGTTGTAGACCCAAAGAACATCTAAGACAAATTATTAAGGAGCAGTAACATCATAGTTTCATATACCTGAGGCGAGAGTCTAAAGTTATGTTTAGACATTTCACAAACTATGGGACAAACAAATATATAAATGGATATTTTCCTATGCTAGTATTTTTGTTTCTTGTTTTTGATATTTTCCACCTGCTGTTGGTATTAAGAGAAATAAAATAAATAGTTTGGTTTAGCAATGATGTCGCAGTTAACTAAGTTGGATAATTGTATTTACTATAGTTTGTGAAATGTCTAAATACATCATAATACAACCATCATTTATATAGTTATCAAGTGCAACACTAATTTCTAAGTCAAACAAAATATTGGTCCTTAATCCTAGTTTTTATTTATGTTATATCGGTAATTGCTTTACAATTGATGATTATTTCAATGGTTGAATATAATATTTGTGTAAGAATAACCCTATTAATTATACACATTATTTTTTTTAGTAACAACAAAAAAGAAGATACCAACAGTTAATCAAATTCCTGGACCTCTGCAGTTACCAGTGATCGGTACCCGTTGGATTTATTACACAAAATATACTCTTGAGAAACTTCATGAAGCTCACAAGGGTAAATATGGCAAATAATTGTATTTAAAAACCAAATAATTCAACAAAAAGTTTAAAATAAAATCTATTAGAATGAGCTCCAGCAGACTACAACTATTTTTGCTGTTTTCAGATATGTATCGTACATATGGTCCGATAGTGAAAGAAGAAGCATTATGGAACATTCCAATCATTAACATCTTTAGTAAAAATGAAATTGAAAAGATACTCAGGCATCCAAGTAAATATCCCCTACGACCTCCAACTGAAGTAACAGCGTATTATAGGGCTACCAGGCCGGATAGATATGCATCTCTTGGTCTAATCAATGAGTAAGCATAACAATTTAAATTTTATATCACAAATGAATTTTATTTTTAACGAGTACCATCAAAAGATTACATCGAAGATTAGTCTATTTTCTGACGAATAATTATTATAAAAAATATTTCCTGAATATAATAATGAAATCTTTTATGATGGTTTTATAAGAAATTCATAATGCAAACAAACTGATAAGTTTTTTAAAATATGATTGGATTGTGTATAATTAACTGAAATTCAAATTATTTTTTCAGACAGGGTGAAACTTGGCATACTCTCAGAAGTCATTTGACACCAGAGCTAACTTCAGCTAAAACAATGTCATCATTCTTTCCAGAGTTGCTATCTGTAACGGAAGATTTCATTCGATTACTCCAGGTTTCTAAAGACGCCAACGGAATAGTAGAACATTTTGATGACCTGGCATGCAGGATGGGGTTGGAAAGTAAGTTGAATATTTTCAAAACCTTTTTTGTTTAACAAAAATGCGTATAAATGAATAAACAAAAATTGTACTTAATTGATTACACAACTACACCAAAAAACATCAAAATAGGTTTCCATTGAATAAAAATCATTTCCGGTCAATTAGGTACATATTTTCTATAGAAAAACTTAATATAAGACATAAAATATTCTTTAGCTTGGATGTTGATATTATGGGTTATGTGATAATAATACAATTCATGCACTATGAAAATGAAAATTCGATAAAAAAGTACATGTGATTATTTGTTTTTAAAGGTACTTGCTGTTTAATTCTTGGAAAGAGACTAGGAGTTCTAGAAGATGAAGCTAGTGAAGTGTCACTCCGATTAGCTAATGCTGTTAAAGAACAGTTTTGTGCATCTCGAGACACTTATTTTGGACTTCCTTTTTATAAACTGTATCCAACTAAAGCCTATAAACGATTTGTCAATGCAGAAGAAATCATTTATGAGTAAGTTTTTAGTTGCTTGTAACACTCATTTTAAATACTAAATTAATATCACCGTTTTTCATAAGAGGTATTCTTTATTCACTCTAAAATAATATTTTGTATATTTACTCAACAGCGTGATCTCAGAAATGGTCGAGAATGCTGAAAATCTGGAAAATGATACCTACTTAGAAGATAGCCCCAGTGTATTTCAATCAATTCTCAATAACCCAGGTCTTGACATAAGAGAAAAAAAAGCAGGAATAATTGATTTCATTGCAGCTGGTATTAAAACGGTGAGTAAATTCATCTATCCATATTATTAAACTAAGTATATCCCTTAAATTCACTCTCCCAAAGTACTACTAAAAATAATTTGTTATAATATTCTTCACACCACTGAACATTCAACTAGTCTAGATTTTTTATTATTATTTGAATAGAATAGTGACAGTTCTATTTATGTTTATACGAATTCCCAATTTTTTTTTTCTATTATTCCCTAACTTGCCATTTCTGGCTTTTGTGGTTCTAAAGGTATAATCAAAACTATTCTTGTTTGAGGTTCATTCTGTTCAGAAGGTTGAGATTCATTCTGAGTGCCCTCCACAAAATAAATTTCAACCCACCCAGTTACTTTGATCCCATTCAGATTGATTCGAATCGGCATCCCTAGAATCAAGAACATTAAATTATACACTTTAATAGACTCGCCTATCACAACCTCAGACCAATTTGTTTGAGATTTGGTAACATAGTCATAGATACTTCAGGATGATGTTCAAAAGTATGATGAATGAAAGTATGAAAGTATCATGAAATATATCTTTCAATTCATCATAGCCCAAAATGACAAGTGGGCCTGTCGTGGTCCTTTTTGCCAATCCCTAACAGCTACCATGAGGTTGCCACCAACTACTTATTAGAGTGGGAATGTCACGGCCCATTTCCTGGGATCCCTGAGAAATGAAAATTAACCAAACGAGGTAGGAATTGAACCCACAAAGTTCAGAACTGGGCACTCTGGGACCCATGCCCCAACGTGCTTGGTCATCTCGTTCCCAGCTTTAAAGTTAAGCACAACACTGTGATAAAGCAGAAAATATAATCGAAGTGTCTACTCACACAATTTCCTATCCCTTAGTACGATGAAATAATCGTTTTCTATATTTTTGCAAATATTTGTTCAATACAAAATCTTCTAATTCATAGCTGCAATATTCCAAGAGATGTATAATTTTCAGATTATTTGAAAAACTAACAAAAAGTATCTTGTTATAACACTATGCCATATCACAGTGTGTTCATTGTTACATAGAGTACCACATCTTCCGTAATATTTCATTAAAACCAGTAAAGAGTTTAGCCATCATTTAGAAAATTATGTTTTCAACTAATTCCTTATCATAAAAAATTTGCCCAATAAACGATGCATATCATTCACACAGGGCAACTAATATCACTTATTAATTTGGTAAATAGGTTATTTCAAATAGTATTAAAATATTTAAACAATGACACCTTTATGAACAAATTACACGTAATATTTTTTTTTAAATTCTGTTTTAATTTGTTTGATTTAGCTGGGAAACACGCTTGTCTTCCTATTATATTTGATGGCAAAGAACCCTGAATGTCAAGAGAAGATAGTAGATGAAATTGATTCCTTAACCAGTGGGAAAGAACTAACTCTGCAAGCACTGGGAAAAGCCAACTACTTAAAAGCTTGTATTGCTGAATCGTATAGGTAATTAAATAATTACTTGATGAAATAACACAAACTAAATAAATAAAATTAAAAAAAAAACACCTTTACATTTAAAATGTTATAATAATCATTTTCAGAAACTCTTTACAATGATAATCAATTTCAATAATTTAAACAATATTATTCTTCACTTACAACCAACTGAATTTTTCAGGATGCTTCCAACAGCACCTTGTCTCGCAAGAATTCTTGAAACGGATATGGAGCTCAATGGGTTTCACTTACCATCTGGAGTAAGAATACTTTTTATTACAAACTAATATTATTTAAGGTTTTATATATGAGACAATTAATATTAAAATTGGTTCAAAAATTTTGCATGTTATCCAAAAAAATCCAAGTATTTTAATATGGATTAGTCTTTCATTAAGTATTTTCAATGTGGTAGTACTCCCAAGTTACCTAAAATTTTAATTTTGGATTGAGCTGTTTTTGAATCAATCTTTGTAACTAACCTATCTCCTTTCGAAGAATAACTTGATTTTTTTTTTCAATTTATTCATCCAACACATTACCAATGTTTTAAAATTTAGTTCCTAAATAAAATAAAAAATTCTGATTTCTTAAATATGTTGGAAGTAAATATACAAGGAAGGATATATTAAACTAATTATTTAAAATAAAGAGAGGGTTAAATTCTATATAGTATAACCACAGGCGTTAAAAAGAAGAGACAGATAAGCTGAATAGTTAAATAACTATTCAATTACTGCCAAATTGATTTATCACAAAATTTTATAATTAATGAGATAAATTATACAATGATGCAAATCTGATTAATCTATTGTTAAGGATAATTGTTATAAATTAATTTATATTTAAATATTATAATTTTTTTTACATTTCATCATTATATTGCACAGTGTATACACTACCCTTACAGAAGAAACAATGTTCGCTGATAATGTTTCAAGATTCCAAAATATTCCATTAATGTTTATATGACAAATTATTTAAATTACTAATAAATTATAAACAAGAAAGAAAAAGTTAACTAAAGATTAATAACATAAATAATTAGTTCAGTAATATAGAAGTTTTTAAATTCATATAATACTCATAATAAAATTTAATCCTCTGTGGAATAATACTTACATGCTACCATTTGCAATCTCGATGAAATGGCAATATCTCTACTCCTTTCAATTCTCTGCAACATCTTATGGCCAAAAAAAATATCATTACACTCCTGCAAAAAGAAGTAATAATAAGGTTAAAAAATATTCTTATAAGTATAATAAAAATGGATTAAACAATAATTTTATAGTATGAATATCAATTTTCCCAGACATTGTTATAGAATTCCAATCATACATTCTCTAATTATGGTGAATTTTTTTTTCTTTCACATATGGAGCCCAGTCATTACTCTAATCATTAAAAATTCATATAAATTTCAAATCCTGTGATTTCCAAACCCAGTATAACTATTTTAATTTTCTTTTTATAAATGAATTATTGTAGTAGTGAAAGATCAGTCATAATAATATCACAAAATAATTAAAATAATTTCCTACAACGATAAAACCTAACACGCCTAACAAATATTTCTCAATTTATTATTTTTCTGATTCAACTAAACTATTTCTGTCTGAGACTCTCAGTAAAAGAAGGGAAGGTACTTTCTTCATAAAAATCTAAGTTGACTAGGAGTTTTCAAACAACTACATTTTCAAATATTTATCTTCCACTCACCCTCTCTCCCCCTGATTTTCTTTTAATAGATCAAAAACAATGGTTACAAAATTTTAGCTCAATCAAACAACTGTGAGACTATCATCATTAACACTGAAGTTTTAGAATTTTTCCCTGAATGTCATTTTTCAAAGCATTCTCAAAGAAAGTAGCATGGAAGGATTACTGCTGCAACTAAACCCCAGAAAAATTGCAGATATGTGTATAGCCAAGAAACACGACTAAGAACACAGTAAAAAGGCAAAAGATATTAAAAGAATTCAGAAAGAAATGGAAGTAGAATCGCGGTGAAAATATAAAATTATTCTGAAAGAAAATCAAAGCAATGAAAAGCAGGAATCTTTCTATCAAACAGAGGAAGGCAGGAAAAGCTATGGGAATACAGTGATGGAAAAAAAGTATTTGCACATCATGTTTTTATGAATAAATGAGTTCAAGGAACCAAAAAACTTCGCTTTCCTCTGTAAAAATGAAGAGTACATTTGCTAAAAACTGAGAGAAACCTTTTTACACATAAATAAAAACACTTCATAATCAAACAAAATAATTAAAACAATCTAATGAGATCTCTCCAAATACTTTTTCAGAAAGTGAGGAAGGGTATATGAAGATGTTCATAAAGATTCTCTCTGTAACAGAGAAGGAATGAAAGAAGCGATTGACTTTTCCTACCTTGATACAGAAAGTTTATTTAGAAATCTTATACTGTGTTTAAAAAATCTTATATTGTGATTGTGAAGGAAGAAGTAAGCAGAAATGTGAAACTCCACATCTTTAAATCAATCTAGTTGCCTTAATTCCTACATAGAGCTAAAAACTGGATTGACAAACAGAGGAACATTAGCTGCAGAAATCAGGTTCCTCCAAAGGATTGTGGGTAGGGCAAGACGGACTGTTTCTGCAATTAGAGGATCAGAAAAGTACTAGAAATCCTCTTGATGAAGGAAATCTTAGAGTCTTACTCTAGAGACTTACCAGCTGAAGTGATTAGGCCATGTTGTCAATATGGAGGAACAGTAAGATGTACTGAATACTACGGACTTTGCCCCTAATGGTAGACCTCTAGTGATAGCACAAGTAGCAACACAGGTGAAATAAAAAGAAACCTGTATAAATCTAGAGAAATTGTTCAATCATATTCTGTTCTACCTTCCGTGTCATCATCACTTTTTTGATATAGTTTTAAGGGGCTGTTTCCAATCAGTGATGGCTGCAGCTTCTGGTGCAGACATTGTACTTTTAAAAAATGTATAGAAACAAAAACATAGGACAAAATAAAAAAAAAAAAACATTTACATAACTAATGGTTACAATCTTCACTCTACTATTCTTGGATTTTTTTAACCAATTTGCGCTAAACCAATGAGTGATTATTTTTTACATTATATTTTAATTTTAAAGAAATTATTGCTCAAAATATAATGTCTTTTTCTTATAAAAATTGCCAAATACACATAAATAAACTCAAATCTATGTTTTTCAGAAATTAAGATAAAAGTGTTTCTAATACATGAGAAAATAAGTAAAAATTTATATTTGTTTGCCATCATTTAAGATTGATTAATAATTATATATCAATGCTTATTTTAATTTATGTTCTACTTGTTTTTGCCATCTCATCATGCCCCATTCCATCTTGTTTCCATAAACATTCATTTTCTTCTTTGCTTTACAAAAATCAAGAAAATGACAAAACTTCATGTACAAAGGATTTACTCAGCCTTACAGATCCTCAACTAGCCCTAATTTGTAATTAATAGTCAACCACTATTTGCTCATTCAAATAAAGATAAAAAGTTAATAATAGTAATTTATCTAAATCATCTAATTGTTTATAGTTGCTTACGTTACTCAATATTTAATAAATTAATTAAATAATAAAAGCCTGGAAATATTTAGTTAAATTAAATGGTATGGTTTTTAAATGCCTACTTGTACAAATTAAGCTAATCTGATATCATTAAATAAAAAACTGGTAATATTAACCAAAATTATTTTGTCATGCCCTGGATTGAAAATAAAACATCTGACAACGCTAGTGCACAATAGTACTAATGTTATTCGGTAACCTATTAAATATCGTGAATAGAAACCGTTTATATTTTCAATGTAAAAGAATTATCACTAACCAGAAAAAGTTTCGCGGGAATCTGCATGTAGCTTCATTGAAGTGCTTGGCGAATTCTTCATGGGAGGGCATTATGTTTTATACCAGTCATTCAATTGGTAAAAAATATTTCTACCCTAGCAATCTGCTGTAAGATTTCGAATTTTACAGATGACTAATTTGTTGAAAATTTAATAATGATAAAGGCATTGAAAGTTCATACAGAGAAATAGAATATTATGTAAATAAGTAAGATTTGTTATTTCTGAAGCCTTGGAAAATAATTGAATAATTATATGATATTTTCAGTTGATAATTGCAGATGTTTTTATCATTAAACTTTTCTATTCATAACACACAGAAGGTAAACGGCACGTTCTTCAAATTTTCTGTTGTTAGTACGAAATGATTTTTTCTACCTCATTTGTAGAGCTAACTTTTCTTCCTATACTTTAAATTATCAAATTATAGTATTATTATATGATCTAGTTGTAGATGGGTGATTTCTTTTTTTTTTTTTGTAGTTTTAGGGAGTAACATCGCGTCGGTTATAGCCTAGAGCGAAATTGTACCAAGCTCCCCCTCTCCCCTCAAACTCGATTCAAAGCCTTTTTATAAACTGTTTGCAAGTACCAATTCAAAATTCTACAACTCTGGTTTCAATTTCTAAACCAGATTGATGGCGCTCTCATGGAAGCAATATTATTAAAAAACTACCGTGTGTATTTTGGACCACACGATAGAAGTGGAAACTTCAACTAGACAAGAATAATAATATAAAATATAAAGTTTTTTTTGTTTTATATTCACAAAGTTATAACATTTACAATATATGCAATTATAGTTGAGTAAAAACTATTTTTTGTTCTATATTCACAAAGTAATAAAATTTACAATTATACAATCACTAGCGGATCCAGGATTTAATTTGGGGGAGGGAAGAAGCTTCAGCCCGAAAGCTTTTTTTTTTCATATATATACAACGATAACTAATTTTTTTTAAAAAGAAAGAAATTCACTACCTATATAAAATGGTGTTTAAGTGGTTCTTGAAGAACTTTTTAATGTATTTACACGAACAAGAATACTTTAAGAGATAGTTTTAATATTTTTTTCTGTAAAATGTGGTTATAATTTACCATTTTGGGGGACTTCAGCCCGATAGCCCTCTCCCTCCCCCCGTAGATCCGCCTGTGTATACAATTATAATTGTGTGTAAATTATTCTAGTAAACTTTGCTCTGGCTGATCGTCATTTGTATCATACTCTAAAAAATTTATGATAGATTTATGATAACTAAAATACCTATGTAATAAAAATACTTTGGTTTGAAATCTATACGCTAAATATCTAATAAAAATCCCGGAATTGTTTTAATATAACGTTTGTCGTGACGATCAGTAATTTGTCGAAACTCCATCAAGTACAACAGAAAATTGAATAAAAGCACATAATTTCTTATTTTTATGTCTAATTAAAAATATCTATATTGGCTTACACAAATCGGTTTCTGAATAATCCATAGTATTTAGATGTTGAGATGTTTACTCCAAATATTCAAAACAGTCGTTATTGTTTAGTTTGTTGGCGCTATCTTTTTCCGTTTCCTACTCTCTAACTCGGCGTTACGTCATAATATAATTTTGATTTATAGTTCATTACAAAGAGGATGAAATGCTGGAAATTTCTATCGATTATAGTATGGAAATCCGATTTTTAGTTTCAGAGATATTTTAATCCATATGCAAAAACAATTCAATTAGTTGACTGGAGCCGACTTAACCCGAATGAGCGTTATATACCCGAGCGTTACAGCTCAGACTCATTCACTATCCACGAAAGATATGCATCAACCAGAGAGATTTTTTTTTCAATTATATAACGATAATTAATTTGAAAAAAAAAAGAAGAAAGAAATGAACTACCTATATGAAATGATGTTTAAGTGATTCTTGAAGTCCTATTAAATGTAATTACACTAACAATAATACTTTAAAAGATAGTATTTAATATTTTTTTCTATAAAACATGGTTATATTTTACCGTTTTGGGGGGCTTCAGCCCGAAAGCCTCCCCCCCTCTCCCGTAAATCCGCCTGTGTATACATGCAAAAAAAAGTATTTCGGGCTGTAGCCCTCCAAAATTAAATCCTGGATCCGTTAGTTCGAACAGTTGCTACCGTATTGATGAAATTGTGGACACATTTTTCTCGAAAGCTGACAAAATGACTCTATGAATAAAGTAATAGAGACAAAACCCCATTGATTTTAGTGGTCCTGCATTATTTTTTTAATTACCTTATTTTCAGGTAGAAAATGTTGCGTTACTTATGAATCTTAAGTGCATTTTTATGAAACCATGAAGCACTTGAGGGCAATTTTTGTTAAACGCAGCTTAACAAAATCTGTATCATCCCATACAGGTAATACATATAGGATGATACAGCCCATACAGCCCCCGATTAACGAAGGGAAAGAAAGACTATTTTTTTAGCATTTTTTAGAGTAAGGAGAATTTCGGTGCGAAAAAAAAAGGTTTTTTAACGAAACTTGCGTAAAGATGGTGCGAGAACCTACCTGCTCCCTCCCCCCACCCAAGATATTTTATTGCTCACCTTTTCTTAAAAACAGAAGAAGCTAAGGTAGAATAAGAAAAATCGTAGATCATATACAATTACACTTGCTGTGGTCTGTTCTATGTTTCCCCCTTGTCTCTTAGTCCGAAAATTCATAACTCCATCGAAATTTGCCCCCCTCAAAAATTCCAAACCCCATCAAAATATACCCCTCTCAAAAATTTTGATGGCGCAACTTGTGCCATGAAACCCCCTTCAGGACACCCCTGGCGTGAAGGATTAGATTTTTAAAATTCATTCCAAATTCTCAAACAAATATTAAAGCCAAAAGGCATTTACTATCACGACTTTATTTGCCTCAGAATAATCTCAATGGACAAAATCAAGAGGAAAAATCTTAGTTCATAATATTATAATAATGTACAGTATATACTTCTACTCTTTTCTTAAGTTTTATTAATGGTTTTGGGAAACAAGTTAAGCCAGAACCTTGTGGCCAGATTTGAAGTGATAGATCATGCTTAATCCTTGTCAAATACTCTATCTTAATTTTTTTTTGTGTGCTCTAATTCATAAGTTGATTGTTATTTCAATAACAAAAGATTGCATGGGCATTAGAAAAGGCTACCTGAAATTAAAAAGGATACATATAGACGAGTTGTTTAGCTATAACCATAATAGCCATACAAGAAAAAAAAAATTAAAAGTATAATTTTAGAAAAACATAAAATTCTGTTACATCTGTGGGTTCAAAACACAAAAGAAACAGCTTCAATTAGTAAAGTTTTATGATGTTTGAGGGAAATGAATAAAGGAGGGAAGATATATATACAATAAAATCTTCAGTTGGATACTTTTAATAGAAGTAGAACAAATGTAACAGGATGATGTTGGGTAAATTCTTGAGAATACTGGAATTCGTACCTACCTCAAATTTGTGTTCTTTATAAATCAATAATTCAATCTTAAAGTTTACCAGATTATATTTTATTTATATTATTTTTTGGTTAAACTAATCAAATTCATATTTTTCACAAAATTAAAAACACATCACTGCAGTTGCCTAACCAAGTTGTTTTATTTTTACAGACTGTAGTTTTGTGTCATACCTGGCAGGCATCTTTGATGGAAGAAAATTTTCAAAATGCCGACCAATTTATTCCTGAAAGATGGCTCGGAAAAGAGAGAATGCCCTGGTTGGTGGCGCCATTTGGAGCTGGGCGTAGACTGTGTCCAGGAAAGAGATTTGTGGAACTAGAGCTACAGGTTCTTCTTGCACAGGTAAAAAATTAAAATATTTATAACATAATAGCATTATGGTCAACAATAATTAAAATTGAAAAATTGAAGAAAAAAAAAGATATTTTTTTAATAAATATTTATAGTTCTGTGGAACAGCCTTTGGTTCCTTATCTGCTGCAGCTGATAAACCTAATATCAAATTAGTATAGCCTTAATTTTTAATAAAAATGAACAAACGAAAATCAATTAGAATAATTTTTATTTTGATAGTGATATGATAACAATAATCATAAACTCCATAAGTGGAACTTCATTCCATGTCCTTTGCTCAAATTAAATGTTTATTTGAACTCAATAATTTGTATGATATACAAACTTGTGTGTGTTAGGTTTGGTTTCACTGTTTTCATATAAACATCCCTTTAATTTCTAGATTTACTATGATTCCTGGCTATAATTAGTGTCATTAATGTAAAAGGCAAACTTTCACCCAAGCTTAGAGATTATAATATATATATATGTGTGTTAATTTAGTTGGTATTTTTTATCTTTCGTTTAGTCCAGTTTCTATTAAAGTTCAATTCAATTCAGCTGCTAATTATTTTTTTATTATATACTATCCAACCAGCAAAAATTTATCCAAAAGATGGCTAAAAAATGTCTTGATAAAGAAATGGGGTGCCTAAAAGATGTACCGAAAGACATCAAAAACTTGGCATATGCATTTCAGCCCTCTTTAAGCCATCCCAAAAATTATACCAAAAAGACATCTAAAAGCTGTCTGAAAGGTATCTTTTTTATATTCTAAAAAGGTCATCTGAAAGACACCATTTTGACATCTTCAAAAAGATCATTTAAAAAAAATTATTGTTTTACAAGGAAAAATAAATAGAAATGTCTTTGTTGAATTATAATTTATTTATTTAAAGACATATCAATGCATTAAAAAATATTAGATTAAAACAAAGAGGTAACTATTATAATACAATATTATTATTGTTTTATTAATACATTATTATATATTACAACATAATATACAACTACTAGAGAGATGCACAGGGCTGAATGCCATAGTCTAAGGCAACAATAGCATTTTCTCAGTTACAATAAAAAGAGGAAATAATCCTAACAAGTTAAGACTTACATTATATAGAACAATTATTTCATTTTATGTGACTGCCTCTCAAGTGTCCAACCTCCTTTTTGTAACCATGGTGTTACAACTTTCATCATGCCTTCATCTGTTGCTTTGTTCACATTATTGGAAACAGTATCTAAAATCCACAAATGAATGATACTGTTGATGATCAAGATAGCAAATAAAGCATCAATTTTCAGTTTTTCATAATTTCTTTCCCCATTTTCTTAATGAACACTGTATAATGAACAATAGAAATGAATTTTATTCGAATTCAATCTGCAATTGTAAAAAATAATACTTCAATTTGTTATACCAGATTAATTTTAAAAATCATAATATGTACTCACACATCGTCATGAGCAGTGACAACTTCTTTTATGTTATCTATTTTCAAACTTGTTCAATCCATACTCATAGAAAATATCTATTTTATTTTATTTTCATTTGAATGAGATATCAGCACAATTATTGTATGAAACCTGAGCTAAGGTTATGAATGTATGTTATGACCACATGGTTATTTCAAGCAGACAATCCAATTTTCATCTTGTAAAAGATATCATTTAGATACCGGATTCAAGACGTTTTTTAAAGATATCTTTAAGACATCTTTTAGCCATCTTAAGTCATCTATAAATAGTCTTCTGTTAGAAATCTGTTTAATATATCTTAAAGATAACTAAAAAATTATGTTGAATATTTAATAGTTGACCGTTGCATTATAAAGGAAGGAGATGGTCCGGGGTGGTGGTAATAAATTGGCTGAATAGTGGCAAAACTATTTTATTAAAAAAATAATAATAATAATAAAATAGTTTTGCCACTATTCAGCTTATTTATGACCGCCACCCTGAACCATCTCCTTCCTTTAAAAAATGATGTCTTTCAGATATTGATGTTGGATGGGTTTATTTTTAACATATTTATTTTTTACTGTTAAAAATGTTTTATTTTATTATCTCATGAATAAATTAAATGTTTATTTTCAGATTGTGAGGAAATTCAAGCTAGAATGTGCTGGTGAGCTTGAGATCCAGTTCGAATTTCTTATGGCACCTGCTTCTCCTTCCAGCTTGAAGCTCGTAGAAAGGACTTGAAGATTACATCACCTTCTTACCTTCAAAAATTGACTAAAACAATCCCATTATTGGGTCTTTTTCTTATTATCAGGGTAACGATCTACCCTTTTCCCATTCATATAGACTATTTAAAAGTGTGTATATATTGTTGTGTTTGTGTATTATGTAGAATCTATTTGCTGTTTTAGATTACTTTTGTTATCAAGTGTACCTGAAACCATTCCCTTGTAAGGCTTTTATTTCTGTTTATTGATTAGTGAGGGTAATGGACTGATTTTTTAAGACTTAATGTTAAGAAATTCAGTTTAGTATTTATTATCTCTGTTTTCATTAATAAATCATGCTGTATATGTTTTAAATTTATTTATTTATTTATGATTATTTAACATATTTAAGAAATCAAACTGAATTTTTACGACTAGAAAAGATTTAGATTGCATGTTTAATAAATTAGTGAGTTTACTTTAAATCTTAATTTTCAAAGTTAGTCATCATTTATTTTGTAATATCTAGATATGAAAGGAAAAAATTGTTTATGTAAAATGTAATCTAGAACTATTTTAAAACTACTACCCTCTTTAAACAACTTAAGTTCAGTATAGCAGCAGCACTGTTATTAATTATCTTATTAGCAGCAATATTATTAATATCTGTGAAATCAAGCATTCACATTTTATTTTCCCACCTAATAAGTTAGGATTTAGTTATTATGTACAAAGTATTTGAGTGTTTTACATTTATTACCTTCATGGTTTGTAACTTAGTATATGTATTGAGTATATCTTTTATTTGTTTTTTATTATATGTCCCAATTAATGAATTGAGTACAAATTTTTAGTGAGTCTAAATTAGTAGTAAATGTTTAGATTAATGTTATATTAATGAAAATTTATTTTGTTTGTCATTCTTTATTTTTAAATCTAAAAATGGTAGTTCATAATAAGTAATAGAAGTATAACAGGCATAGATTGTTTGTCATTCTTTTCATTAGTTTGTCATTCTTTATTTTTAAATCTAAACATACTAGTTCATAATATGTAATAGAAGTATAATAGTTATAGATGATGAATATGGCAAGACAATCCATTCTAGAATATTTTTTTTCATTTTTATAAAATATTCACAGTACGTTTTAAGTGTTCATTTTGTTTGTTATAATATAAAAATATTTTTCATGAAATAAATTGGAAATTCATATGACTACTATTTATTGTAATTAATTAATTTTGTACCCTGATTAACAATATGCTATAGTCACAGGCGGAGGGAGAGGGGCTTTCGGGCTGAAGTAAACCCCCCCCCCCCCCAAATAGTAAAATATAACCATGTTTAAAGAAAAAAATTATCTCTAAAAGTATTATTGTTCGTCTAATTACATTTAATAGAACTTAAAGAATCACTTAAACACCATTTCATATGGGTCATTAGTTTCTTTCTTTCTTCCAAAGTAATTATCCTAATATATGCATACGAAAAATTTGGCTTTATATTCACTACATCCTTACCAGCTACTATTGGAATTGCTAGAATGATAGCAATATAAGTAATTTTTGATTTATTTAAAGATAGTGGATTTTTACTTAATATTCTCAAATGATATATTTATAATATGCATATATTACTTCAGTGCATTTATAAACTATATATAAATATATCATTTAGGTACATTTATAATAGACATTACACCACTACCATCCTATCCATTCAATTTCTCTCAATCCTACACCCAGGAATTTTCTGAGAGGGATGTACTTGTGAATTCTATACACCTAAAGTGTATGCAGTGGATCAAAAAAGTATTGGCACACCTAACTTTTTTCATGTTTCATTGTGAAAAAATTCAAAATTGATTAGTTAAACATTTTTATTTAATAAAAGATTTAAAAAAATATATAATTGGGGAAATAAGATTTAAATCTACTTAATTAAAAAAAATAGTACACAAAAAATCACTTCAACATGGTCAAAAAAGTATTGGCACACATTAATTTGAGGGTTATTTCATGAACTGGATATGTATTAATTTTTTGTCATCGTACCATTGGCATCTATGACACCATGGAATCTTCTTGTCATCATCAAAACAAGATTTTTAGTTAAGTCTAGTCCATTTTACACTATTTCTCTGACAAAGTTTCTTTTAAATAATTTTTTGAAGAAATTTTATTTTTTCTCTCTTTAAAATCCAACAGGTACATAGATGTTCTATGGCATTTATGTCCGGAGACTGTGATGGCATTTTCCTTTGGCTGGAACCAATGTACATTCTTTTGTTTTATTTGTTGTGTGCCTGGCATCATTGTCCTGTCGGAAGATAAATGCATATTTGATCCTCATATTTTCGGCTATACTTGTTAAATTATGTCACAAAATGTCAAGATATTGTTCGGCATTCATAATATTGTCAATAAAGACCAACACCATTCCATGACATGCCCCCTCAAACTTGGACACTTCCACCTCGATGTCTTACAGTAGGCCTCAAATGTCGAGCTCAAAACTCAGGTTTTAACCAAGTTTCTGTCAAAGGTACTTGTCATCATCAGAATGAAATATGTTAAACTTGACTTCATCTGAAGAAATAACATTTTTCCAGAATTTTAAGTCTTTATTAACTTAAGTTTTGGCCAACTCAGTTCTTTTTTGGCGGTTCACCTCTGTAATAACAGGTTTTTTTCTTTGGAACCTGCTATAATAATTGTATACATGAATTATATTTCTAACAAAAGGTGGTATTTGAAGTAGATGCGACCTCTTCTGTTATTTCAGTGGCTGATAAAGCGCAATTTTGCTCAACAATGATGGATATATCTTTGTGCCCTTCTATTTAATTTTTGTGGCCGTTTAGAAGAAGGAGGTTTATTTAAAACTAATATTCTGAACACAATTTTTTTTTTTTTTTTTAGATCTTATTTATTGAGAAATATTACAATCTGTCTCAAAGGAAATTAATGAAATAATAGTGTTCAGAGATCACATTCACACTCTATTTACAATAAATTAAACAGAAAAATAATATATATATATTAGTCAAGAGGAATAGTTTTCATCGCAGATACACGCAAAAAAAAATGTTTTGAGGGGCAGTTTAATCCAAGATTTAATGAAAAACGCAACTTAGCATAGTTTGGCCGCTCCAAGGTCACCTTTGAATGGTTTTAAGAAAGACAAACTGTATTTGTATTTGAAAGAATTGTGTCTAGTTTACTATAAAGCAATTTTAATTACCTGAATTAAAAAATGTTTGTATTAGCATTTATATACATCAAATGAATTTTTTTTTATGGAAATTCTGTCTTGAATCACATCCATATTTGGTGTTGTTTCAGAATTTTAACAAATAAAAATATTATTTTTATAATTATCGCTATTTAAAATATACAAATTATTATTTATATTCCTCTTGCCTTTTGGATGATATTGTATATCTGTAAGAAAATATTTAAAACAAAAGTAATTTTTTTGTTTACATTACATATAATATTGTATGGCAATCTTTATCCATTTTTGTTTTCTAAGAAGCACATTTTTCAATTAGCGTCAATCAATATCTACAATATTTTTAATAAAAAGTGCTCATTATTATTTTCTTATGTATTTTTGTAATTAATAATTTATTTGATTATAATCTTAGCCCTTATTATTTTTTTTAGATTATTTACACTCAGCACTTATTTATCTTGCCTTTTGACAGTATTATTTGTCAGTAAAAAATTAATTATAACAAAAGTGACAATTTTATAACATTATATATATATAACATTAATCAACAACAATATTTAATATATTAGTAATATCAATTTTAAATGACTGCAGTTCCCCAGCGGGCAGGCAGAGCTGAGGTGTCTGAATCAGTATAGGGTTCGTAATGGGCTAGCCTCCATGGCCGCTACAAACCCTGGATGAGTATAGACAGGGTATCTGAATCCGTATAGGGTTTGTAAAGATACAGCTAGTAAATGTTAAATTTGTAGTATAAATATTCAAATTTTTTGAGTTATACGTTGGTTTTGAATAAAAAGTATAATTGATTATTTAATACAATTTCACTTTTTAATTATAACAAATATTTTAATAATAATAATAAAAGTGACGGTTATGGTGTTATTTTTTCAAAAAAATTTGTTTTCCTCCGGGATCCACTAGTGCCTCAATCTTCATAAGTTACTTATGTTATGTTTATGAAAATTAATGAAGTTAATTATGTCTATGAAATAGCAATCACTATATTAAAGTTGTTAATGTACTATAAGCCAGCCCTAGATCTTAAAGCCCTAGTGAGACAAAAATTTCGTGATTCTTTATTTTTATAAAACAGACCAATTATCAAAACAAAGTAGATCTAAGTTATTCAGTAAGGGCACTTTCAGGAAGACAGCATAAGTATTTGAAATTAAAATATCAAAGTTTTTAAAAATTAAAATATTTCTAATTTTAGTTATAAAGCCTATATCTAAGTTTCATTTAATATTGACAGCTGGTAAACCTAAAGTTGAAGGAAATAAGATATTATTTTAAGAAGGAAAATTAACATTTTTTCCTTATTACTATCAGGGATGTTAACGGAGAGAGGAAAAGAGTGGAGAAAGATTCGTCTACTTCCTAGGGAGGTTCCTAAAGAGTAGTTTTATTTCATTGCTGAATGGTAATTGTATTACAAAAATTACATATTTTTTTGTTTTCAATTAAACATGTATATAATTTTTTTTTATAATAATTCTTCTGTCCTGTGTCCCAAATGGCCAATTTACTCACTTCACTAAGGATAATCAAGAGAGATTTTAAAAAATAATAAATAGGTATAGAAAATATAGATTAAACCTGTATATTAAAGAACTATCTTACACTCCTTTTGAGACAATAAAGACCAAACTACTGAGAGAAACCGGACTCTGCATTATCAAGGAGCACCAAAATGGCAATAACGATTTAATGAAACTTGTCTAAAGTTTTCTCATGCAAACCTTTAAATTTATCTATGTAACAAACTTTCCTGAAAAGAAACTGTAAAAAAGTTACGATGAATGCAAAATTTCATTTGTGAAAAACTCAATACACTTTTTGGTGGATCATGTGTATGTCCATTTGAAAATTGACCAAATTCCCTTTTTAAAAAATCTTGGATAACGGACGATTGTTCTACATGAACATGTTCTATCGCAAAGCCGATCTCCTTTGTTTTCGTTTTTGTTCTGTTTTCGATTACTAGAAAATTCTATAACTAAAATAGTCAAGATTGTATATATTTCTTTTAAAAAAATATTCTTAAATAGGCCTATATTAGTCAATTTCTTTTTTTTTTTAATTAACTATCCTAGAAAAATCTTAGGATGTATTTTACAAATAAAAAATTTTGAACATTTTTTTTATTTTATTTTTATTATTAATTTTTTTTTTTGTGTCAGCCTCCGCCATGTTTTTTTCTCTTTGCAGTCATCACCAACTTTTACCCAGTCATCGCCTACTTTTGCCTATTTTGGTCTTTTGCACCCTCCCTTAGACTCTGGTCCTTCATCATGGCAACAATTACTTTTTGATCCTTTTTTAGTTTTAGGACAACTCATCATCATGGGAACATCAGGTTCTCGGCAAAAGCCATACCTACACAAACATTCAAAATTAAATATCTAACAAACTAAACACAAAATACATACATACAATAATAATCATCAGTGTATTGGAGTGAAAATGTAATTTGTTATAATGATATCACGTTTCAGTAACACAGATATGGTATAAAACCAGAATAAACAAATAACTAATACCATCTGAGAGTGATAGAATGTAGGAAGGCAACTGGCTTTAGGTCCCAAAGTTCAATTTGCCCCAATCCCTACATTTGATATTTTATCTCCTTGTAATTATTTAAATGTAATGTATTATTACTCGATTTTAAATACAAAAATGTATTCTATGCCTCACTAGTGGTCATTCCATAACATCTGAGGCAGGCTTAAGAAGGTTGTGATTATTTAATGGATCTCCGATTAATATCAGACCCATTGTTATGTTTTTTATATAAATAAAATATAATAATAATAATAGTTTATTTATTCTGGGACAAGCCACTTTAGTGTAATAACCAAAAACAGAAATGTGGACTTTTGAACCTCAGAGATATACAAGTGTATTAACTATTTAAACAGATAAATATAATAGGAAAAAGGTAAAGTCATTCTTCTAACATTAACCGAT